CCAACTCGCCCTGTCTGTGGGCCGGTTCAAGGACAAGTCCAGTAGTAATGCCTTTACCAGACTACATTGTGTGTACGTACTTAGCATGTGTTTGCATGCTCTACATGGTGTGCTACATCAAAAAACGTGGAACTACGCATGTGAATTTCTTGCACAAAGGCACTGACTGGATGAGTGAACCAGTGCCAGTGGCAGAGTGTATACTGAAGTAACAGATACTTTCTCCTGTTATTTGCAAGAGGAGAGCTATGAAAAAGTAGAAAAGAATGTGTTGTATAACGTTCATGAATTCCAGACCTGGTCTAATGACTTAAAAAGAAGGGGGCCGGCAGGATTAAGAGATTTGCCATGTTTCCCCTACCTGCCTCTCCCTTCTTCCCAGTGCCCTAAGAAACATCTCAACAGCCATCTCTTGTGGAAGAGGCTGGACAGGACAGCACTAGCCCCTGCTTCCTGTGCTGCAGGCTGCAGCTTTGTCAGATCCCTGCTCAGGAGAAACCATTAGTCCACGGCTCGTCTGATAGGTTTGACACACGTGGGGGTCTGTTCAAGGCGAGAGCCAGAGGCAACATGGGATCGGGGTCTCGGATCACTAAGAGGGAGGAGACGATAGAAAAGCCATAGCAGGCTGCTGAACTGATGACCATATGGAAATCCAAAAACACAACCACGTCTTCACACAGAATAATCTCTGCATCAACAGCTCGGAAATGTTTCATGTGTTATATGCTAGCTTTAAATTTGTCCCTGAAGATCCTTCCTTTTTTTTTTTACCCAAACAGCTGGTAATCACAGAAGAGTCAACGTTCTTTTCAACAGGCGCTGAGGCAAAGCAGGGGGAAATTGTGAGCTTATAGCGATTTTATTCATAGCTTTATATAACTGCCAGTGTCGCCAAGGGGCAGATGGGACAGATGGGGGCGTGACTCTACTGCTGTTGATGTCGGGGTCTCGTATGGTAAATGTGAACTGAGGCTTGCAGCAAATATTAGAGCAGGCATGCTACTTTTACTTTTACTGTAGTGTCAAAAAAGACTTGAACTGGACGTCAGTGAGTGAATTCATTAGCATGCAAACAACTGGAGGTTTCAATGCATATCCACATCCCTGTTGATATGTCAAATCTTCCCAATCATTCTTCGATCTGGAGTCAAACCTATTTCCTGATACCATTCTGATTATTCATATACCAACGTTTCATCTAGAGTACTACCACACTATGAAGTGTGGGTTGGTATTAAGGGTTTTTATGAAACAAAAAAAGGCCCAGGCACCTCGACTTGAATAAATATATTCATGGTATGCCACATATGAAAAAGCTAAGCTATGCCCAGCAGTGCATCCCACATGTAAAGAAGTGAGGAGCCCTGAGGAGCCCTGGACAGGCTGTTATCTCATCCAGGGAGATAGGAAGTATGGACAGGAAATACAGAGGGAGGGGGAGGAGAGGGCCCATATGGGAAGTGCAGTGTAAACAGTCTCGGTTTTTAATCATCCCAGCTCACGTTCGGAACTGGACGCACTTTGATGTTCTCCCTCAGCGCCGCCTCCGCCCTCCCATCGCTCGTTCCCAAACTGCCGAGCTGAGGGCCCGCCAGGGGAACGTGCAGATAGTGTCCTCGGACAGAGGAGGGCTCGGGGAGAGACGAGGAGGCATTCAGTACCTTGTGGGACACTGAGAAGGGAGGCGAAAGAATGTGAAGTGGTGCAGAGTTAACTGGTGTTCAGTCAATTGCCTGCCCTGCCTTAATTATAGCTGATGTATTTAAGGGAGCTCTCAAAGGTCCATTCAACATTTCAAAGCACAAAGACCAAAAAAACACAGAGTGAGGAAGAAAAGAAAGTTAAGATTAAGAGAAAATAGGTGGAGCTCTTATGATTGGACACAATGCCCACTGGAGGATAAACCCCTTCTCTCCAAAGAGGAGAGTCGCTCAAGTTCAAAGCTCTCCCAGAAGCCATTGCATTGCTCCTCTGCTCATAATGCAAGCTGTTTTTAGTAAAAGGAGAGAGAGTCAAAATTCCTCACCACTTGTATTTGTCCAAATAGTGCTGGCCAGAGCCTAGCCAGTGTTCCAATGAACGTGTTCATTCAGAGGACAGGGCATACTTCCAGGGAGATCACAGTTTAATAGATCAGAGAGATGTGCGTACCAAAGTCTTGTGACTTGAATACACTAAGGGAACAAAATGGGATGTTCTTCTATCCAAAGCACTCCAAATGTGTTCCTCACATGTGTTTGCAAACATAATCTAAACAGGATCTAAAGATTTGTAAAAGAAATAAATCCAGTTCTACAAAACTTGTTTTCTGTTGTACTTTTTTACAGTGTATGTTTTTTAACCATTGTGTGACTTATACAAAAGCCTTGCCGTTTTTAAATGAAATGGATGTTTAGCTGATAAATGCCAGATAACAATTTTCTCCAAATCAACCTCCAGAATCTGATCATTCTAATAAAACAGCTCAAGGCTCAGAGGAGCGACATGTTCATCAAGATGTGTATGTGGCCAAAATGATAAAGAATAACTGTAGTTTATGTAAAGTGATTGGAATGCTTCGGCATGACCTAGAGTAAGACTGGGCTATCTTCTGGGACTCCCAGAATGCACTGGCTGACCTCCTAAACAGGAGTTATGCTTACTAGAAGAGAACTTGGCGTTGTGGTCATGATAATACATGAAGTGAGGACAGTTTAATCACAGAGCAGAGAGGACAAACTAAGATACAAATAAAAAGGACAAAGCCTGAGTGAGGCAGAGAATCTATGGAACTCAACCTCCTTTCCAGCGTTCACCCCCCACTCCCAATCCACTGGGAGACAAGGACATAAAGCGGGACTGTAGAGCAGCCTGCAGAGGCAATGAGGACCTGTTGGAACAGGCCTGAGCTGCAACAAAGAGCATCCTGCAGCATAACACCACCTCTGTGCACTGTGGGAGCAGCCCTGACAAAACTACACCTTCCTCTGCTCGGACAGAACTGACACCAACAGTCTGACTGAGGGAACAGAAGAGAGGACACAAGCGCCTGTACAGACTTTTTAACCAGCAGAAAGCAAGAAGAAACAGGATCATATCAGCAGAGCATTAACACTTGGCAAAGAAAAACATTTAGTCTGAATGTAGCACTATAGGGCTACCCCCTCTTCTCGCAAGTAATTGGTCATTTCGCTTTTTGTTGAGCAGGATTTCTTTAAGTGGATTAGTCAATATCTTACCAAGATCTCCAGAAACAACATTCGATCAGATGTACTTTATAGATCCACAATATGGTAGTTAAAACTAAATAGGTGCTTTTGCATGATTCTTTGTGCAGAACCTTTACAGAAGAGTGGTCTAAATCAGCTGGATTAGTTCAATCATACTTTATTTTATTTGTATATTTTTTCTTATAAGTTCTACATTACTGATCAAGTAACCATACCTTAAAATAAGTGGCTGAAGCTCATGGGTGACAGGGGATAAATACCTTTACCTGTATTTCCTCTACAGCACATTTACATGTGGAACACTACATAATAACTGTGCAAGGTTTTATGAGGAAGAAAGATAAAGAACGCTGGAAATCCCAGGGAGTGTCTTTGATCTCACCTGCGCTGTGATATGCCTCCATAACATGTTGTCAACATCCCACACAGACACATTAAAAGCCAAATCAGTTTTAACTGGAGAGGAAAACAGCAATGGCTTTTTACACAAGTGCCTAACAACTTTCTCTGTTGAAAAGTCAATCCTTATCAATTATGGATAACTGCAGCATCTGGCTTGCCATTCACAAAACCTCCCACGCCTGCTGAGTGAGAAGAGACAAGATCCTACAGTGCCTCAAATCTGTCGTCCCGTTTCTCTGGAGACGGTAAATAAATTGACACAGCTAGAGCTTTAAGGCCTGGGAGCCTTAATCCACTACTGAATCCTAAATATGCACGCTGAATAGAGCACATACTTTACATTTCAAAGGTAACGGCATGCTTTTTTTAAAAACCTAAATGGTAAAAAAACATGTTTGCTCAAATTAGGTTTGCATGAGTCTAAACATGATTTCAACCACACCTTCTTGTCAACATGTTGGAGGAGAAATAGATGCCATAAATAGAAACTGCAAAGTAATGCTTTCATCTTTGGAAAGATACACATAAAGAGGTTGGCAATCTCAACCCCACCCATGTTTTTAGAAAGGATAAGTAAAAATAGATTGAAGACCAAGTTACCTCAATAACACCTGTGCTGCATCACTATTGTTCAAGGAATGTAGATGTACTGTCATCACATGCTGAGTGGGAAACTCTCAGAAAGATGCAGACAGTGTACCGTGTAACCCATGGCCACTACAGTATGTTGATGCAGTATAGCAACAGTACAGGTGTTAACATCATTTGGTTTATCAGACAGTGGATGCTGTGTAAACAGTTATTTAGTCTGGAGAAACATGTGGGTCACTGCACAGGAGGAAGAAATGAACTAAGGTACGACAGTCTGTCCTAAAAACTCATTTTCAAATGAATTTTACTTTTTATAATGTATGGACTTTGAATGGTAGATTATTACTCTGCAGGCACCATTTAACTTCATGCATGATTTTTCTTATGTATGGGAGAACACTCAAGTTTATAAATGCGGTCTCTAAATTATCTGCACATTCAGATGTTAGAAAAGTGGGACATCTACAATACAAATGTCTATTTGAGGGTCCCCTGGGGAAAAGGTGTTATAAGAGCAACAGGCAAAAGTATATTAAAGCAGAAATTATTCCAAGTGGTAAGGCTGTCTATCAATATTCTCACTTCTCTACCTAATTAAGTGTCATTAATCAAGGCATTACATTCCTAAGAGCTTTCAGGGCACTATTGCATGGGAGCCTAGAGTGGTGGGGCCCCAGCTGAACAACAGGTGCCCACCCTGCAGCCCTGAATTCCCTCTTTTTAGTATGTTTGGGGGTACATGATGAGAGAGTGGGCAGACAGTAGAAATACATTGAGTGCTTTATTACACCTTACCTGCATTAGTTTTCCCTCCGCCCTGCCGGCACTTCCTCGCACGAACACCCCTTGCAGAGTGATGGGCTTCCCCGTCGACTCTTGGTTCAGCAGTGCCACCTTGATGACCGCTCGCTGGAACGGCCGCTCGGACTCCAGGCCCGGCTGGCCCAGCACCACCTGCAGGGCCGCCATGAGCAGCCACGGCCAGAGCCCGGCCAGGCGCCGCTGGGGGACGGTCATGGCCTCGGCTGTAGCGGCGGTGCCCGGCCGCACATGGTGGACTTCAAAGCAGGCAAGCGCCGCGGGTAGACAAACGGAGAAAATATGTGTATATATTTATACGTCCCCCACTTCTTCTCTCCGCGTCGACGACTAAACAGATACAAACCAAACTTTTAGAGCTGGAGGACTGCCATCATAACTCATGCGTGAATGTCCTAAAACTTCCATTCAGCACCAGTTAATATTCAAACTCGAGACGTTATAGAAAGCAGTACCCACATGGAACAAAGAATATCTTCCGAGTTACAATGAGCTTGAGCTTGGAACTTTTATCCAGTGTCATTAATGTGGGTGGCGAAACACTGCATGCTCAAAGGCACCATGAAGACACGCTGTGTCGTGTTAGAGCTTGAAGTGTGCAGTAGTTGTCCAGCAGCCTGAGCTTCACCAGATACACAAGTGTCCTCTTTTGTAACGTGTTTGCGTTATGGTTCAGCTGTAGTATCCTCTCCCCAAAGAACGGCAGGTCCTGTGAACACTGTATCAATATTCATCTGTATCCAAACTCTTATTAATATTACAGTGTACACGAGTCACTGTACCTTACAATCACAGTGTGTGAGTTTCCAAACAGCGTGAGAAGATAAAGCACATCCTGTGGGCGCAGATATTTCTGGATAATTCCACAAAAAACGCAGAAAAGCGACGACTTGAACTTCAAAGGCTGGGTTACAGGTTGCCGCCGGAAAGTTATAAGGCATGTTGACAGATAAAGCAGTGCCAAAAAGTTGAGTAATATTCTTTACAACCGAGGAGTTGCGAAAAAATAACCCTCAAAGAAGTTGTTAAATTCAGAACACCGCTCTATCTAATTATTAACCAAAGCAAATGGACCGTTGACTTACGTCGCTTATAGCTTGGTAGTTATATACTGGGTCCGAAACCAAAGCGATTCCTCTAACAGACACATTAACTTACTTTCTACAGTCGGTGTTCATAAACGCTGTAAAAAGGAAAACACACAGGCATTCCCCTGAGTTCAGTGACTCCGCTGCACTGTAAGAAATTAGATACGATCCTCCTGAGAACACCGAGAGAAAATGAATTGTTTATCAAAATCATCAACGAGCACAGAGAAGAAATACTACAAAAGTACGGAATAAAAGTGGTCCAAACTCCTAGTGGTCTCCATTGAAAGTTGATAAAGTGGAGAGACACCGTGTACAGTTATGACACCGTCCCAAAAGTCTACCTCCCGGACTGTCTCTCGCTCCCCTGGGATCTCATTGACACTCTCTACCTGCTCTCTGTGCTGCTGCCTTCACGTGCCGTCAGACATTTTAGATTTTGAAGAAACGATACACATGACCAATCATGATGTGTTTGCGGGAGGATGGACTTTTGTCACCGGATTTGTTTTGACGAAAGATAAACTTAGTTAACAAGTGTTGCATGTAAATTAATGATGTTATGAGGCACAATTCTAAGTAAAAGTTACCACTTGTGTTTAATTCCTATTTTCACACAATGTGGTGTCAAATTACAGTCTTTGATAATAAACAGCTATGAAAAAAGACCTGTGTTACAAACTTGGTTAAAACCGTCAAACACTTACACGTTACAGAATTAATAAATACCTTACAAAATAATGCAATAGGAGCTTCCGAGTAGCACTTAAATGCCACATTGGAGGCTGAGGGCGGAGCAGCCAATCATGAGCGGCCCTGTCAAACACGAGTCAGTGGCTCCCTCTAGTGTACACACACCTACATAACCAGCTGCAGCGTCAACAGGAAATCATGACATACTGTACACATTACAAACTATAGCTTAATTATCAGAAGTATATTTCATTTTATTTATAAAGCTTTTGCAACGTGCCTTTAAAAACATGCCAGTTACACATTTTAAAAACACTGGAAATGGGGTGCATTAAATAATTAATAAAGGAAGGATTTGCAAGCACCAACTTGTCACCATGACAAAGCAAACAATCAATAGTAGATTAAAATATATATTTTCATTAATAAACATTCCATCTCTTTGCACCATTACAGCAGTAACTTGCTATGACAAACACTAGCAGATATTAACAACAGTAAGTCAAACATGTGCACATTAAAATAGGTGAGGCTGAGTTTGCCTTACTTCAGCAATTCTGTATAAATAAACTTCAAATTAAATTAATTGAAAACATCAGAAGGCAGTTACATTTAAAACAACACTTTTTTAAAGAGGTTAAACCTTACTTTCTACATTTTTAAAAAATGTATCACTAGCAATGAGTAAAAACACTAAAGGAAAATACACACAAATGTAAGACATATTACACATTTAGCAAAATAATGTAAATAAGATTAAAATTTCAACTCATCAACAAACCTTTCCACAACAAAAAATCATTGAAATGGAGATGAAGTTGTTAAAATGTAAGATAATAAAATACTGTAATGAATCAAGACTCTCTGTCACATTCAAATCAAATCAACAAGTTGAGATCTAAAAGGAAAAGAAGCAAACTGTTAGTAAACATGTTGCAACGACTCACATGTGAACTGCCTTTTCTTCTACCCGTTTTCATCTGAAAGTGCTATCTTAATGTTCAATAACAGCTTACCTAAAGATATGGTGTACTTCCTGTATCCTTGCTGCTGTTGGCATTGTTGGCCTGACTGGTTTCCTTTAGAGGCGACCTTTCCTCGACATCTATAAGCTCAGTGTCCTTTGCATCATCAACGGTTACGTGAGGGGCAGAGAGAAAAGCACATCAATTACATGGCTTCTGCTAAGCTGCTACAAATGTTCCTATAAATACATCATCAAAATGTAAAAATACACATCATGGATGAATAGACAGACCTCATCTAGTCTGTCTAGTCTATCATGACCTCATCTAGTCTGTCCTGGCAAAGTCTTTTGATTTTAGAAAAATAAAGCCTTAAGGAGACGTACAATGTAGAGGCTTACCTCAAATATGTCATATTCAGGCATTTTCTCAGGTACTGAAATCACAGACTTCTCGTCTTGTTTGTAATGAATCGGACCACTTTTGGCTGACACAGCCATTATGATGGGTCCAGGGCTCAAAGGGCTAGCTTTCATGGGGCTGGTCAGGTTGTCACTCATCATGCTGGTGTTGGAGACCGGCACTAACACAGGGCCCAGCTTCTCTGGGGTCACAACTCTAACCAGGCCAGCTCTACTGGGTGGAGTTTGCATCACCTCATCGGCAATCTGGAAGATTGTGTCCAAGTTGATGTCACATTTGTTCAACTCATGGTGTCCCTTGGTCTTTGATTCCTGGTGGGGGTCCGAATATGGAAACATGTTCACAGGATAGCTTGCCTTCAACAGAAAAATAAAAAGATTAGTAACAGTAAATGTCCAACATACTCCATCTTCCTAAACCAATAACGGATTTATTTTGAGGCACTGATAACATGACTCATGGAGCACACTTCAATTCCCCTACCTGGTAATATCTGTGGGGAGAGAGGGGCACTGGCTGAAGTCCACCAGCTGCCATATGGGAAGCCATAAGGCTCGGATGGCAGCACTGGTAGGCTTGAAAAAAGAAAAACAAATGTTTTTTTATTTTAAAATGCAGGATTTGAAGTTAAAACCTCAATGTTTACACTCTCACAAATCATTATTCATTCAACACAGAGATTAGTACATTTTAATAATAGCTCCAGCTAAGAATTATTTTGAGTGTTGATGAATTGTATGGTCTCTAAAATGTCAGAAATTGTGAAAAATGTCAAGAAGTGTTACCCAAACTAAATGTCTTGTCTACAACTCAAAGGTCTTCCTTTTACTTCCATAAAGGAGTAAAACAACCAAAATATTCATATTTAAGAGGCTGGAATCAGACCATTTTTACTTTATATATTTTTTTAAGTACATAATAGGTTACCCTAAATGTCAATTAATCTTTGTAACTAAATTACAGTACATTTGTATTACATTGTATGTAAAATAAAGGTCTGTCACTAAAATGATGCAAGCAGTGTGGTTTTTAACTCTTTCACCCATACTGCTAACATGTTCATTGGTGCCATGCTCACCTGCAGCCAAGTAGCCCGGCTGATATTGTGCATGAGAACCAGGAAAAGGAAAATTGGGATTTGCAGAGCTTGCACGGGCCAGTAAACTCTGCTGAAGGTGCATATGATTGGAGCCTGTGGTGAGTCCAGGGTAGTGGTGGCTTAAGGAGACTGGTATCCCTTTGTCTGCAGCAAAGACTATCGGCGAAAGAGCCGCACCATGACCCCTTATCAGGAATCGTGGGGGAACTGGGGTTCCATTGTGCGATGTCATGGCCTGAGCTTTTTTTGGAAGATAAGGATGTTGGGACTCCTGATGTCGGGGGCTATGGCTAGTCAGCAAAGAACTTCCTGCAGAATCTAGAGGGAAGCAAAGCATGGCAAACCGTTAAACAGCCATATTTGAACTGTAAAGCACTTATAAAAATTGCAATTGTAAACATTTGGTTCGGTTGGAAGTAATAAAGCTAGAACGGACCCATTCCAGCCCATGACAGGTTTAAGAAATAGTTACATTTTACAGTACACACCACCATAGGACAGCCATGAGAAGTAATGCGTAACACTTGCCTCTTTTCAAGTCGTGATCCATGCAATCACCTCCCCCACTGAACCGAAGGAATCGACTCAGGGGACGAGCTTTCACGTCCACACCAGCTTTTATCTTGGCCTTGTTCTCAGCGGTCAGTCTCCTCAGATTTTCAACAAATGCAGGCTTGTCTCGCTTGAAGTTTGGGTTTATAAATTGATGATATCCTGCAATGTATCCAGCCTGTTTAATAGGTTGATCGACTTTCTTGAAGCCATACAGATTGAGCTGACGGACAAAGCTTGAGAAGTTGGTTGTTTTGAAGGCGTCAGGTGAGGTGTTGGCTCTGGGAGACAGGATCTGCTTCTCAAAGAGTTGTTGATCAATGAGGATGACTTCGCCGTGAATGTCCCAGCAGATGCCTTCATTTAGCGGGTTGTTCACCAAACGCCATAGTTTGGCAGGAAAGTTCATCGGGTTGATCCCGTCAGGGAGTGAACTATCCCTAAAGTCCATGATGTTGTCTGAAGAATTGGAAACAGAGAAAAAGTTAGTGAACACATGGCTTTCCTTTTTTACACAAAATTGTATTAGGCTAAATCAAAAGTACATATCACAACAGACACAAATACAAAATAAAGCAGACATTGATATGTTTAACATTAAATAATACAAAAAATACACTTAAAATAAAAAAAATAAGGACAGACATTAGAAAATAACTATTATTTGGCTTCAGGAGGGTTTCTAAAAACGATGTTTCATAATTAGAATCAGAAACATGTTTATTGCATAGTAGAAATTTGTCTTGGTGTTTTTGGATTATACATAAACATACATACATAAAAACAAAACAGTGTTATAATCAAATAACCTGTTGTTTCATTACTATTTGTAACAAAGTGAAGCACTGAATTAATGTCAAATAAAATAGAAGCAAAGGGGGTTTTGAAGCTTAACTAGTCTGCTTATGAATACATAATGTTCCCAATAAAATAAAAAGTGAATACCACATGTTTAGAGATGTGTTACTCATAATGTCGAGTGTAGCGACAAAACTCTGAACTGAACAGTTTCTAGAGGCTGAGGTAGGCTCATCACTTTTACACGTTTCAATTAAAGAGATAATAAACAAACAATAACTTAAAGAGGACAAAGGGTCAACAGAAAATGACCGAGCCAGCTCACCCTCTGTGTCATACTAACTACTGGCAGACAACAGGTGGATTTACAGGTGGTGAATACAAATGCGTGTAATCTAAAATAACAGCAATAACGGAAATAATGAGTCAGGCATGGCTCCTGCATCGAGTAACAATTGCTATTGAGTATGTTTGTATGTACGTAAACGTTAAACAAATGGGCGTGTATCAGGCAAACCGTCATCAGTTACTTTCCGTTATGGTTCGTTTTAGCTAGCCAAGTAAGCGTGTATACAACATAACCGTATTATTAACCGGTAAATAAATGTCATAGACTAATCTAATAAAAGTGACATACCATTACCGTTAACTTACGGGGTGTGACACTTTTCGTTAATGTTAACGTTAGATAATTAATAACCCACTTTAACTACCCGTTAAGTAATCTAGTTATGAAGGAAAGTAATGAGCTAACGCTAGCTAATATTTCACACCTGGGAGTATTTATATTTAAAAAATATTGACTTCTGGCAAATGTCAACGATGGAGCTAAACTTTAAAAAGTGTAAAAGCTGTAAATTGTTAACTTTAACGTCAGTTAAGTTCCTCCAAGTGCTAACTTTAGCGGTAACGTTATTGCTAACGTTACTTATTTTATGTGAACGTTAACGTTAGCTCGCCAAGTAACCGATCTGTAAGAAATGATTGCAGCACATTACCGAAAGTGTACGTTTGCATAAATAATTTCAATATTGATATGCTGATTTGTGTATCATGATACAACAATAAGAAATATTATATTATGTAAACTGTACCTGGATCACACAACATGACTCTCTTCTTCAGAACCGTCTCGAGTTCCCGAACCGTTGGAGCTGTTGGAGTTTAAACGTTTCATCTGACACTGATTCTGGGCCAACTGACAGGGTTCTATGATGTTCTTCAACAGGGCAGTTTATCACCTTCTATTAGAACAAACATGGGGGGCATTCAAGTCCACTGCTTCTAATTAAAGGTGCACCGTGAAAAATCCCCAGTGATGTAAAGTAACTAAGTAGATTTACTCAAATACTGTATCTAAGTACAATTCTGAGGGAGTCTTTACTTGAGTATTTCCATTTGCTAGTTTTGTACTTATACTCCACTTAAATTGAGAGGTAAAATGTGGACTTTTACTCCACTACATTTAATTAATACCTTTAGTTACTTTGCACATTTGTGTAATGATGGGAATATATAATCACACTATAATAAGACTTTTGTTACACATTGAGTCAATTCACAAGCTACCTTGCAACATACAAAGTAATTCAAACTAGCTGCATCTTTACAAGCTTTGATAACACTCTAATGCATTACTAATTATAGTCAAAGAATACAATTTATATTATTCTTAAATTGGTCAATCAGCATAATTAGTTATTTTTGTAAAGTAAAAGTTAATTCAAAAGTTAGTTGCATATTGTCAAAAACAAAAAATGGGAAAATCCCTAAATTCATTTAAAAAAACCTAAGTGATGGTTGAAATCGGTTTAAATACATGCACGCATAAAGAAATAAATAACAATCAACATCTATTATATCCTATAATATTTTCTGGTCAGAAAGGGAAACATTATTTTTAATTAAAGTTTACTATATTATTGCATTGGGTTCACATATGTTCAAAGATGTATAATAAAATGTACAAAACACCTCAAACATAATTAATCGTTGTAACTGAAATTATATAACGTTTATCACATGCATATGCACATGCATATAACCTACTACGTTTCTGTTTGTATTCAGTTTATTTATTCACCACTATTTATATTACCTTGTTTTATTATCGTTTATGTTTTTTACCTATATTTAAACTAACCCAAAACACCTTTTGTGTCTTAAATTCGGATTTATCTTCTACCTGCAATACATTTATTTGGCTTTTAAATATATATATTACATAGCATTGTTGAAGGGAGCCTGTCAAACAAGATGTGTAATAACTCACTGCATTTTGTGTGCATGATGATATAGAAATGTAACCTTGAATCTGATGGAGATTATAAAGAATTGTGTACAGGCGCACATAGGGACCTCTATGCGCTGGTCTTTTAGGGCCTCGCAGTCAGTGACGTAATCCCCGGGCGACTGGGAAACATTCAAAACATTCATCTGTTAGATTTTTCGGTATTCAATTGTCCAGGAGCTTAACGTAATGGCACTGGAAACGGTCCCGAAAGACCTTCGCCATTTGCGAGCCTGTCTTCTTTGTTCTTTAGTGAAGGTAAACTTTAAACTGTGTAAAGATACGTTAAAGATAGCTTCTTGCTAACGTGTTAGCCGCTTTCTGTGCCGCATTTATTCTTCTGTTCTGTGTGTATACTGCTTTTTGTATTTATTTGTATTAGTTAATTGCCGAATAACACCCAAACTGACTGGTTAAACTCCTGGTATACTTGTTGAAAGTACGGTATTTAGTCCATCTCTAACAAACAATGTTTGTTTGGCTAAACTCAAACATGTAATGCTAATTACAGTACACAAACTAAAATACAGTTGAACAGGACTTGATAAAAGTAGACTGGGTACAACATTTCATGTCAGTTACGGTATTGAACAAAGCTAATATGGTTAATAGATTAGTCGATCAACAGAAACATAATTGTTTGAAAATGGATTAATCGTTACAGTTATTTAAGTATTATATATTTAGGCTAATAGTTAAACAATTACAACATTCAGCCTCTGAAACTATAGGATGTTCTGCTTTTGTCATATATCATTGTAAACTAAAATGTTTGGGCTATTTAGTCAAAATAAAATGAGGACGTCACGTTTGTTTTTGTGAAATTGTGATGGCCTTTTTTATTTGACGTTTTATTTACTAAACGATTATCGATCATTCATAAAATGCTCTGTCTTCTTTAGACCATTGACCAGTTTGAATACGACGGCTGTGACAACTGTGAGTCGTACCTCCAGATGAAGGGGAACCGAGAGATGGTTTATGAATGCACAAGTTCCTCATTCGATGGGTAAACACTGATTTGAGAATGTATTAATTAAAAAATGTTCAATGGTTTGAACGATTTTCTTAATTCTAACCAAAACTGTCTGTCCACAGTGTGATATCCATGATGAGTCCTGAGGACAGCTGGGTCGCTAAATGGCAGAGGATAGGTAAGGATGTAGGCCCATATTAAACCATTTACATTTCTAAGAACATGCCCTGTTTTTTAACGTTTGCTCAAGTAATTTTATTGTTATATGATCGAGTAATAAAATATGTGTATTTGTTTTTTCTTCATCTTACAGGTAACTTCAAGCCAGGTGTATATGCAGTGTCAGTGACCGGCAGACTTCCTCCAGGTACACTTTATCTAACTGTAATACTTCAATATGTAGCCAATTTCACACACCTAGAAATAATAGGTTTGGCTTTTTTTGTTCAGAATCTCCAACTTGTTAAGTATTGCATGTACTATACTCATTCACTGTTTATGTAACTAACTTTTTCTCTTTTCTGAAGGCGTTGTGAGAGAGTTGAAAAGCAGAGGAGTGATCTACAAATCCAGAGATACAGCAGTGAAGTCCTAAACCTGACGAAGAGACGAAGGCGGGACTAAATGTGTTTATGTCCGTCATGTCTTATGGAAATGCCCTTCAACTGTTCCATTTTTGTTTATTTTTGTTATTAGAAATATTAGCACGGGAGGTCAGTTTTTTAAGATGTTGTTTCTTTGAATAAATGCGAAAAATAAAGGTCTGTTTTTATACAAACAGAGAGTCATTTCTGCAACACAGTGATGCAAACACAGTGAGATTAGCTGATTCAGGGATACACAACTTGTTGTAGTAAACTTGTTGTTAAAAAAAAAAGCAGCGGGTGTCAAGAATATACTGTCGGTACTGGAAGTTTCACCAGAAAAAGTAAAAAATAAATAAAGTAATCACCAATCAAATTAAAATAAACACCAATGATAAAAAAAGATAAAGTAAAAGCCAACCATTACATTATAAAAACTAAAGCTAGCCCACAACTCCAAATTGAATACCAGATTAAATAAAAAATAAATAATAATTTGCTCAAATGCAAGCTCTTAAAAAATAAATCACCTATCAAAATACAATCAAATACAAAATACAATTATGTTAGGCAATGACATGTATTTTAAAATATAAACTATGCCCATCTCAATGCTGATATCAGCATTTAGTATTATAGTTTTAGAGTTATATACCTAAAGTAGTAGAGTATTATATTTTGTTAAACTTTACAAAATTAAAATCACCCAGAATGTACACAGCCTTAACTCGCCATTCTTTTTAAACCAAGAGAATAACTTGCATTTACAGAGAATTCACTGTAGTGTTCTTATAGCTACGCTAAAGAGAAGAAACTCAGTCTATCATCATGTGTTGACAGAGGGGGGAAAGTACTCCGATATTGTACTTGAGTAAAAGTAGAAGTTCCAAAGAAGTACAAAAAAAGTTCAAAATGTTACTCAAGTAAAAGTACAAAAGTATAAGCATCAAAATATACTTAAAGTACTTATTATGCAGATTGGTCCATTTCAGAATATTATATATTCAATCTTTTGTGATTATTATGAATGATGCATCATGTGTTATCAAAGGTAAAGGTGGAGCTAGTCTGAATTCCTTTGTATACTGCAGGGTAGATTGTGTGTTGACTCCAACTAAAGTCTTATTTTATTGTAGATTATATTTCACATCATAAATCAAAATCTGAGTAAAAATGTAGTGGAGTAAAAGTACACGATTTACCTCTGAATTGAAGTGGAGTAGAAGTACAAAGTAGCAGAAACTTGAAATACTCAACTAAAGTACCTCAAAATTGAACTTAAGTACAGTACTTGAGTACATCTACTTAGTTACTTCCCACCTCTGCGTTTTGAACCAATTCTACTAAAACACCCCTGTACTTATTTATTCTGGGCTAGATGGTGCTTTTCACTGAGTACGGGGATTAGATGTAGTACCAAACATTACCAGCAGGGGGAACCATAACCAAAACTATTACTTGTGTAAAATAGTCGCATGATTCTCACCAACTGTCTGTCCATAAATAGTTTGAAATGATCTGCAGTTTCCTCTCACTGCTGTAGCTACTGTTGCATTGTGTAATAGATAACACCCGTGCGTATCACTGTTCAGCTGTAGCTTCAGTTACTGTAGAGGAAGGGTTATTTATTGCTCCAGGGTCTGGGCATTGTCTAAAATCCCTGTAACCTGATGGATTTGGGTCATGCATGCACACAGAGGACTTCTCACCACACAGGCACCTGGTGCTGACATTTACAAAAGACTGTTAATGAGATGCTTTTATCTCAGGGTCTCAACTGAACACTAAACATTTACATTTTCTATAAATATAACAGAAATATGAACAATATTGTCAGAATAGTTAATTGGATTATGGATTACAGAAAGGTCCTCTTTTACTTGAGTACTGCACCGCACAGTTTTGAGGTACTTGTACTTTACTTGAGTATTTACCTTTTTCTGCTACTTTATATTTCCACTCCACTACAATACATTTTTTTGTAATTCACTAGATTTCCTTGACAACTTTAGTTACTTTAAAGATTCAGATGAGTATTAGAAAAATAATCAAATAATTTATCATGTTTAGATAATAATAATTATTGAAATTAACAAGCTACACATCCGTGTATATAGTTTAAAAAAGCAGCTGCACATTAAAGTGAGGAACACATTGATGAATCAATCATTGAAATACAGAAATACAATATATTCATTTCATCTGGCCATTATGTCTCTGTGCTTCAAGTATATTTGATTGCTAAAGCATCTTTTCTTGGAGGCTACTTGTACAATTTAAATTCTGGACTTTTACTTGGTGCAGAGTATTTCTACACAGTAGTATTACTACTTCCACTCAAGTAAAAGATATAGGTACTTTTCTACCACTGATATCACATCCTGGACTCTTGTGATGTAACACACACAAACGTCGGTGTGACCAAATGAGCACATGTTCTGTCTTTTGAAAAAGAGGGGGAATTACCACACACCACCCACCCACCCACCCACCCACACACACACACACACACACACCACACACACACACACACACACACACACACACACACACACACACACACACACACACACACACACACACACACACACACACACACACACACACACACACACACACACACACACACACACACACACACACACACACACACACACACACAACAAGTTCATTTCATGCACACACACTTTACATTACTAATGTGATTTACTGCAATGTATAACTGAATCTATGAGGCAATATACCTCTAGTGAGTTGCCAAGCCCTTCGTATGTTTTTCTGTATGTGGCCCTCAGAGAAAACAGTTTGGACACCCCTGTCTTACCCTATACATGTATAAACATAATCCAAATATTAACCAGAACAATTTGCACAACAGCTATTTTGCACAATTATAATGTATATTCAATCCAATGCCATGTGGCCTAGTGAGACTGTATAGCCTACTCATTTATTCAATATTTTCAGTATATTATTGAAATACTCTGGGGATATATGTCCTTTCTATTGTGAATTTGTATATACTTGCTGCTAATGTTAATTTGTATTATATGTGTGTGTTATTGTATGTTTTAAACATGTTTAACTCCTGTAATGCTTGACACTGCTGCTGGAACAAAATCATTTCCCAATTTTGGGATAAATAAAGTATATCTATCAATCTATCTATTAAAACGTTCTGCTTTTTACTGGATATCAGAAGGAAAGAATTCAACGAGCTGCCCTTTTGCCATCACAAAATACAATTCTGATGTATTACAATCCGCAGGGAGTGAAATTCAGAATTCAAATTGCACAATTCCGTGAAATAACATGGCCATAAACAACACAGATGGGAGAAAGACATTGAAATACCTTGAACATGTGCCATGACCTACATTTGTTTTTTTGTTTTACTGTAACTAACAAGGAAGTTATGTTAGATCATGTTCAACTAGGAGGGAGTTTGATGCATCTGTTTTAACGACTATCATCATTTGTTCTTATGAAACGTGTCTCTGAACCGACAGTTACTGTGGCTAGGTCAGACGCTGAAGAACAACAAGGTGTTAAACACAAAGGATCTGCGTCTTCCTGCATCAGAGCTGATTTCAGAAGGTGTCGTACTGCAGGATGTGTAGGAGTGGAACATATAGATTTGTCACGCGGCGACACTGTAAACACGTTTCCCACGAGAAGTATATTCTCACAGCGTTTCTGCTCACACGCCTCGTCCATTTGAGCTGATACTGAGTTGTAGTAAACTAGCTCTGATAATTATAGAAGACTAAAGCTCCCATACAATAAATACATTCCTAAGTAAATATATAAAAAACCATCTCGAAATAAAAGCCTCTATTACCAATAGAGTTATAATGATAATAAATACATAAAATACATTTAATATCTGTGACCATTTTTGTATTTATTTATCTTTATATTTAATAATTTCCCAATGTATTGTTTCCTGTTTACATTATTATTACTTTTCTTTCCAAAATGTTTTTATTTATTTTATTTATTATAATTATTTAATACATTTGATGTACTGATAATTTAGTTAATTTGTATTGTATAAAATAACCTAAGCACATTCATTTGATAATTGGAATTTAATATGTACATTATTTTCATTTATTTATTGAGTCATTTATGTTCTAATGAACATGTATATGACATATCTGGTTAATCCTACCCAAAAGGGGGTTTCTGTTAAATACATAATGATTTCTGGCTGAATCAAAGCACTCAGGCCCCATGTACGTTACAAGGTAATAAACCATGTGACAAAATAAAGGGCTCATAAAACTATCATTCATTTGAAAAAGAAAGAACTACATTTCCTCTTCAATGTGAACATAAAAAATTCAATAAATCAAAAACGTCCTTACTCAATAATTAACCTAATGTACAGATTTGTTGTCATTCTCTCCGTCACTGGCAGAAGAGAGTGTTTCTACCCTGAGAATCTATCTCCAGTGGTTTGAGACAGCTAATAATCAAATGAGAAATAAACCACAAGTCGGCCTGTATGCCTCCATGTGGCTTTTAACTCGATGCAAAACTGAGTGCATGTCTAGATGAATGCAACCTGATTTATTTAGTGCAGCTTGACACTTTTTCTGCTCTGTAAAACTAGATTCTACCAAACTAAAATGAAGTATTTTCTCTGTGGGATTTGAAACCTCTTTTTCTATCTGCACGTAGGTGAAGTCACTTAAGGAGGGCCGCAGAGTAAAAACGAAACTGAGAAATTTGGCTTAGTGCTGCAAGACCTCCACGACCGCAGCAGGCGTAGTCAGGAAGGCGTTCAGCTCCACCCGCGGGCCCTGAACGCAGCGAGGGTTTGAACCGGCATCAGAGCCAAAAGAAAGGAAGCACGCCTTCGTTTTCACACTCTCAGGCCCGTCTGCCACGGCCTCATTGGTGCTCACAACGCTGGCTTTTGCCCTTATTTGGATATGTCAAGGCTAAAGCTATAGGGAAGGTATTAGATCAGAAAATGAGGTGTGACTCGAGGTTTATCGGCTGCCTGGTGACATCTGTTCAAATAAGAGAAAAGCAAGTGGAGGTTTTCAAAAAAGTGTTGGATTTTGCTCTTTGAGAAGAAAAACGTGGCGATAGGGAAGTGGACGTGTTTCACATGGGGGATGGACATTATCAACTGAAGGCCTCACACTCACACTTGTGTGTGTTGCATC